GGCGGGTGTGCGGGCCAAGCTGGAAAAGCTCCAGAGGTTGGCCTGTCTGGGAGTGACCGGGGCGATGCGGACGGCTCCCACCGCTGCATTGGAGGTGATGATCGGATTGCCGCCACTGCACCTCCATATATTGAAGGAAGCTCGGCTGGTAACTTACCGACTTCTCTCTGGACGGGGCAGGGCTAAAGTTGGCCCACAGAACTCATAGAGACTTCATTGAGGGCGATCCGATTCTAAGAATAACCATGTCAGATACCTGTCTGCCGCGGTACAACTTCGACCACAGGTACAGGGTTCTGTTTCCCGATCGATGGACGTGGGATAGGGGTGGTCCGGTACTTAGGTCGGGTTCGAGCGTGTGGTATGCGGACGGGTCCAAAACGGAGTCGGGTGTGGGTTCGGGCGTATACGGTGTCCGCCCGGACACGTGTATATATGCAACCCTTGACCCGTATTGCACAGTGTTCCAGGCCAAAATACATGCAATAGAGATCTGTCTGAGAATCAATTGGAAAGGGGGTATAGAAACCGCACCATCTATGTGTTCTCAGACAGCAGGGCTGCACTGCTGGCACTCCGTTCAGCTCAGATTACATCCAAGCTGGTCTGGAGCTGCCTTGCTGCACTTAGGGAATTGGCATCGGAGAACAGAGTGATGCTCATTTGGGTGCCGGGCCATAGTGGTCATGCGGGCAACGAAGTTGCCGATGAGTTGGCGCGGAGGGGATCTGGGGCTGCCTTTGTGCAGCCGCTGCCTTTCTGCGGTCTGCCTTCTTCCGCCGTGGGGGCCAGGCTTGCATGCCTACTCGCGGCGGAATGCGACCGTCACTGGCGGGACACGAAAGGGTGCCGTCATGCGTAAGTGTTTCTTCCGGCGTGCTCTGGCGGATTCGCCGCGGAGTTGCTGGGGATGAGCAGGAGCCGGGTTCGCACTATTGCGAATTTCTTCACGGGGCACTGCCCGGTGAAGTACCACCTGCATAGGCTGGGGAATTCGGGCTCCCCCCTGTGCAGATTTTGTGGGGGTGGCGATGAGACCGCCGTGCACATTCTCTGCGACTGTCCGGCACTAGCTGTTCGGCGCCACAACTGTCTTGGACATGGGTCCCTAAGTGTTCGGGAACTGTTGTCCAACTCCCTTAGGGATATCTCCGGCTTTGTGATTGGGACGGGGATATTATAGACGGGGGAGTGGGGTGGCTACAATAAGTTAAAAATGGCTGCGGTGGCTTGGGGGGATGCTCCTGTCCCACTCGGTTCCCTTAGAATCTACAATCTACCCCCTCCATTGCCACACTTCGGATGAATCAAACCTACTTTTCCATGGCGATTTCAAGTTTTCTCTTTTCTAATGAATCAATCTTCCATATTAACTGAGAAGGTGCATCGGAGCCTCCTTCCCATCACTCCAGGACCTGCTGGACCCGTCGGACCCTAGGCACAGCTTGATTAGACGTTTTTTAACCTTCAGTGTCTTGTAGGAAACCCTTAAGAATTCCCACATGATTCCGCGGCATCCTTATAATTGGCTTATAGCACTTCCGGTTGTAATTGCCCGAAAGCTGCTTCGCTTGCAGAGCCTCCCGACGCACACTCCATAACCTCGCCAGCATATCTGTTTAATCTTTCCCTTCTACATCAAGTCCACCCAATCGGTCGAGCTTCCCGAGACAGTTCCTCGCAGTCCGGGTGGAAACCTGGCAAAAATTCAGAACCTTTACGGCAGTCTGTCTGTCGGCATTATCGGTGGTAGTAACCCCTATCCATTAAATTAGGTGCACTTTTCTATAGCGTGTATTTCTGCTTGAAACATGCTTGGATACACCCCCATGGCATGTTCGACCCACCGGCATACCACCTGATGGCGTGGCTTCCCATTGGGTAGCTAACCGGCTCCACCCTCCAACTTGTTTTGTCGCCCAGGTTTGAAGTGAAGTTTTTCTCTAAGCTGTACTTGGTAGTCATATAATGTGCTGGGAAGTTCTAGATGCTCCTAGATATCGTTACTCTCTGACGAAAAACGTTTTAAAGCGCATCGAAGAAATACTTTAAAAGGCTGCAGAACCATATATTTAATATAGGTGAGGCCAGGAAGCTTTGCCTGAATTCCAATAGTTCAAAGAAAAGAAACAGATCTGCGGGATTGCTGGAAAGGTAGCTGGCAGATCTGAAAAAGTTCAAGCTGAGGCAAAGGTTCCCAAGACTACCATCTTGCGGATGCAGTCGGATGCTCCTCATTCAAGAAGAAATTATGGAAATATGTTCAACCAGAGGGATCTAAGCGTGAAGTCACAGTTTTTAGAAAGCTAGTTCCGGATAGGATGGCATCAGGTAGTCTGCAAGGACTAGGGTACTGCAGAATGGCTCAAGGTAGAGATCAGCAGCATAGCTCTCTAAGAACGAGTAAAACTCAAGGCAGAAGAGGAGGAAGACATTCCTAGTTTTTGGAGGTTTCTTCCCTCAATCTGCCGTAACATCGGCTGAAAAAGTCCTGTGGTACATCGGGGGTCAGAGCTCTGGCATGCGAACGAACCAGTGGAGGATCATTGCGAAGGGTGCTGTCGGGAAGGGTGCCCTGCTGACGATCTCAGTCGATCTTCTTTCAAGGATTGACTGCGTTATAAGCTACCGCTTTGGACAGATCCAACTCCGCCAAGGAAGGAGGAAGGAAGAACTGGTCAATTTGTAGCCTAGTCGACAGCGTCGATACAGCAGCAAATGGACCAGGATGAAACTGCTGCGGCTGACAGTATTAATGCACTGAAGGAAGCAGCGGAAATCACCAAAAACCAGTGCATGAGCCAGAGTCTATCCAGGTAAGCCTTCATCACGCTAAAGCACCATCAAGCAGGAGGTTCACCAAAGAGACTTCTACATAGGCTTCTTTCAGGAAACTACGCTTGTGGCGGCAAATCAAGCGCCTGTAAGATAAGAAATGTAAGTTTTTTTTCTCACATCAATCTGAAATACCAAGAGCTGCATTATGTCTTAATAAATCTATTAAATTTTTTCCAATTCCAGAGTTCATTACAAGGGACCGGTGACGGTAGTGGTCGAGGCTAATCTGTTTGCCTCTAGAGTTCCCTAGAGAATGTAGAGAATCTGGTTGAGTACTGCAAGAGGAAGAACAGAAGCCTCAACATGGGCTGTTGCGCCAATTCTCATTACACAGTGGGAAAGTACCAACACAAATCCCAAAAGTGAGTGCCTCTTTGAGTTTCTGATACAAAATAATTTAGATGTGCAATGAAGCTATCTTTATAAATGTAATGCGTAGGAATATCTCAGGCCTTACAATATGAAGCCTCCTTGTGACCTCTCCGATTAAGGATTGACATTTTTCTGAAAGAGGGACTCTTCATACTGTGTATCATCATATGCATATTGTTCCTCGAAGGAGTAATTGGTCAGAATACAGGGATAGATTGAGGAGGGAGCTGGCGAGGCTTGGCGGAGATATAGGATCGATCCAAAGATTGGACGAGGTCTCCAAAGATCTCTGCTTTTTGCTCAACCAGTCTTTTGAAAAGCTGCCAGGCCAGACTACAAAGTACTAAAAGGGAGGTGCCCTACTGAAATGTAAGGCTGGCCGGATTGAAAAAGAGAGTTAAGTAATTTTTCATTAAGGCCAAATAAACGTCTGACTGGGAGAGCTATCACAAGAATCTTACATAACACAATAAAGACAAAGATATGGGTTGCATTATTGCGGAACATCCTACAGCCTCTCGTCTGCTCAGGACGTTTTCTGAAGGTCATGCGAACGGCATTGGAATGCGTAACAAGAATGAAGGTTCTTTTACTAACAATGCTGGGGAGATCGCAATGCTTCTCCTTCGCCTTGCGAGCCTAACCCGAGAAGCTGGGTTCCCAAGTAACAATTTTTATCTCATAAGACTCTTGTAGAGCTATATTGAGAATTCTTAAAGAATTATTAATTACTCTTATAATTTCAGGCTTGTAGAATACTAAAAGACCCTAGTGGGATTGTTATAAGAATAAAAGAGCGCAATTACTAGAGTTATTAATTCTTGTAATGAGGGTTAAGCTCCCGTGAAAAAAGTTTGTAAAGCATATAACTCTCATACGAAAACTAGTATGAGAGTAACAAACTCTCACACGCCATTTATAATAGTGTTACTAGAAAGAGAAAGTAATACATTGTAGAATAAATATGTAGGTCTTACTTCGAACTTTTTAAAAAATATATCTATTCCACTTTAAATAAATATCTTTTTAACAAAAATGAAACAAAATATATGTACATACATATGTTTACGTATATGATATTTAATAAATAAATATTTGTATTCAAAAATATAATATTATAATATTATATACTTATATGGGAAATTAAAATAATTTTTTTGCCATGATTATAATTCAAAAAGTTGCTGGCATTAAAATTTTATTGATATTGTACTTCGAAGAAAAGCAACGCCAACTAAAAAAATTAAAATTTAAAAATTTTTATACATATTTTTTAACTTTGTAATATCTTATTTCTTTTTTTTACATAAATAAAGTAGTTTTGCTATGAGAGTAGCTGAATTTTTAGCACTACAAGTGCTTAATCTTATTATAAGAACCTTATGAGAGTTGCATAAAAACAAAAAAAGAAAAAAAAAATTATGAGAGTATTAGAGTGCGTAATGAGAGTTTTATGAGAGTTTTGTTCAATTTCAGGGTATTACTCGTCGAAAATGTTATTTGGGTTAAGAGCCTGTCTGGGAAAATATTTGACAACCAAAGAGTTAGCTGTCTTTGAAGCCCTATCATGCTCCGGGTGGAGGTGCAATCTATCCCTTGGTGTTGCAGGAGAGCTTGGAAGACAGGATGCCACTTTTAACACAAATATTAAGAGCCAATTATTGCTAATGTCACATTCCACAAAGCTGGAGGAAGGTGAGTGTGGTAATCATACCAAAGACCAATCGCCGTGACAATCACCCGAAGTCATATCCGCCAATAAGCTTCAAATCGTTTCTTTTGAAGTTGAAATGAAAGATGCTGGATGTGCAGATGAGGGCCACACTCGAGCGGGTGTCACCACTGCACGAAAAGCAATTCGTCTATCAGGCGGTAATGTCTACCGAGATTTCTTTGCATCGCCTCATTCAGCAGTTAAAGAGGACGTTGAAGACAAAGCAAGTGGCACTCGGGGCTTTGCTGGATGGCGAAGGGACATTCGACAATACCTCCTTTGAGTCAATAATGAGAACGGCAGCAAGGAAGATACTTGAGATGCTCATCATTAGATGGATCAGGCCATTCTGGGCTCACGAAACATTACATCACCTGTACAAGCTGTCTTCTAACGGGTATAATATGCAAATCTACCATGATGATCTGATCGTAATTGTGAAGGGCCAGCAGGATAACGTCGTACCTGACAAAGCGCAGGGGATCCTGAATATCATCCGGGACTGGACGCAGGCCGAGGACCTTCGCATTAGCCATGAGAAGGCAGTCGTTGTACCTTCACTTTTAAATATCTTGGAGTAATCCAGGATCAGCGACTAAGCTGGGGCCTTCATCCTAAGTGTGTCATCGATGGACCCACCCGGGAGCTATATGAGACGAGGCTGTATGGAAGAACATAAGACTAAAATGATTAAGAATTAAAATTATTAATTAAAATATCAATTGTAACGTACTTCGGTCATAGGGTGACAGAAGTCTGAGCAGGCGATAAGAATGCCGCTCTTACGCTGCTGCAGCCCCTTGCATGCCTTGGCATGACAGGCGTCCTAAGGGCGTGTCCAACGGCCTCGATGAAGGTTCTCTTGGGCATGGCGCTACTTCATATTCACCTTGAAGGGGGGGGGGGCTTTAAAGGGAGCACTACGTATAAGGCAATACAGGAAGCCAAAGCCCGGTGACATTAGGGGCCAGCAAAGCAAGATGTGGTCTGCACATGACCGACCGCAATTTTAATTGTCTGGTTAAGAAAGTGTTACATAATATTATAAAAATGTCTGTTAAATACTTCTTTCCAATTTTTAGAACATTAGTAAGCTACCCGAATTCCTAGAAATACTCGCCAGTTAACCAGAACTCAAATATTAAATTTCAAGAAATTCCATCAATTCGTTCCGTAGATATGGTGAAAAATGTAAAATCGACCCGCAAATCCGTTTTCGAGCCCTGATATTTCCAAAAAATTTATATGTTCATTGTTTTAATACGAGGAATTCAAATATTAAATTTCAATGAAATCGGTCAATTATTTCTCTTTATATACTCAAAAATGTATATTGGGCGCGTGTTAAACATTCAGTTGCTGATGCCGCATTTCTTCCAAAAGTTAGGACATTCCGCGTACGTTTTAATGAAGCTTATGTATGAAATTTCAAATAGATCCGTTGAATATTTTCTTCATAATTATCAAAAACGTGAAACACGCCCGCTAAAAAGTGCAGTTCCTGAGGGCTGACATATTTGTTGATCAATCCGTGCTATGGTCGAAATAAACTTACATATAAAATTTAACAAAAATCGGTTCAGCTGAACTTGAGATACACGCGTGCACACACAACGTACCTCCTTGTTTATGAATTAAATGCTTATATATCTACCTATAGTTGTAAAACCAGATAATTAAAAGAGGTTATTAAAACATGAATATTATTTTGAAATACAACTTATTCATTTAAAAAGAAAAAAAACAATGATGGGAAAAAATTTAATTTACCTTAAACCTGCAATTACTTGACTTCCACAAGAGAACAAACATTACAATAGCAAAAAAAATGTATTTTACTCGCAACCGACAGGACGAATGAATAGTTTTTTCACTTTTACCAACCGTATTGTGTATACGTGATGGTAACAAATTTTGCATATCGAGTTTTCGGTGGGAATGCACTTCTCCATAGTAGGGAAGTGTTAATAAACTATTTTTAGCAACCTGTCGGTCTGTGTGTGCACGAGTGTACCTCAAGTTCTGCTGAACCGATTTTAATGAAATTTTATATGTAAGTTTATTTCAACCATGGCACGGATTGATCAACTTTTGGGATATATCAGGCCTCGGAAACTGCACTTTTTAGCGGGCCTGTTTTACATTTTTGACCATTTTAAAGAAAATATTCAACTGATTTTCTTGAAATTTCATATTCATAATTTCATGTTCATAACTTTTGTAAGAAATTAGGCGTTACCAACAAGACGTTTACTACGGGCCAAATATACATTTTTACGTATATAAAGAAAAATAATCAACCGATTTCATTGAAATTTAATATTTCAATTCTTAATATTTCTTGAAATTTGATATTTGAGTTCTGCTTGTTACCGAAACTAACTGGCGAGCATTTCAGGGAATTCGGGTAAGGTATGTTAACTATAAGCTTACTAATGTCCCAAAAAATGGAAAGAAGTATTTAAAAAACATTTTTATAATATTCTGTGACATTTTCACTTAACTAGACAATACACATTGCGGTCGGTTATGTGCTGACCACATCACATTTTTTAGTTATAAAATCGAATTGCGCTTCAACTTCTGTTATTTCAAACGATCAATAAATATAATTTTTTTGTTTTTCATCTAATACCATTAATACTTAATTTTTTCGTAATAACCATATACTTAAATTGAAAAAACCCCAAAATGTGAAAAAAATAGGCGTTTCAAACTTCCTGTATTCCTGCAAGGAATTGAGTCCAATATTTTTGGTTGAATGAATTCGTCCACAAAAATATGAAACATACGTTAAAATAAATTTAAAAAACCAAGATTAAAAATTTTCTTTTAATTTTTTTCGTTGTACAAGTACAGTAATTAATACTGCTTAGACCGCTTTTAATAAAAATCAACAACAAAAGGGTTTTTAAACGAAAACGGAGAATATTTTAGATAAAATTTATTATGAATATTTTTTATAAATATATATTTAAATTATTTATTATAAATATATATAATATTTAATATTATGGCAGCACAAAATCAGGTTATCTTTACATTTTAGATATTATCTTTACATTTTAGCGTTGCCACTTGTATGTATTTATTTGGAACCATCTGCATTTAAAGAAATTTTGCTTTGTTTTCTACATAATTATTAATGAAAAATTACTTATTATAAAACCATATCATCGGTAGTATAATTGTAAAATTAAAGTATTTATAACAAAAATAAACTACATTAATAAATTCTAATAAACTAAACAGATATGCAAAAGATATAGAAAAAAGTGTAATATAAAGTTAATGCCTGAACAAACAGTTTGTGAGAGCAACTTTTACTGGTGTACTTTGCATGTATGGTATAATCTCTATTCTTCTGCTTAACGGAACCTAAACACTTCTTTCTGATTTAATAAGTTCGAATAATTAATCGCAAAAAAGTTACGAAAGAATTACATAACAAATTACACCAGACAAAAGAAATCAACTATAACCAAAACTGTACAAAGAACTATACGAATACGTTTTAAAAATTGGTGAGATATCCGCCGAGGTATTTTTACAATTCTTTACAATAAAAACCGCATATCAAAAGTGGTCATAAACCATTTCGAAGATCATATTTCAGCTTTAGAACAAAATATTTGATAACTCGTAATATTTGTACTCTAAATAGATACAATTTTTAATTCAATGATTCTTATAGTCAAACATTCTAAAATTATTTCAATTATATGAAGAAAATAAAACTAAAAGGAATATAATTATAGCGATTTCGTTGATAATCCGATTATAATATATGAATGTTGTAATAAAATGTTATAAATAGCTCTTTTGGTAATAGTTCTCTTTTGTTTTTCAAAAAAAAATGTAGCTGAATAAAAAATGTTATGACTGAATATTTCCCAATTCCTCGAAAAATATTTTGAATTTGACTGAAAACTGTATACGAAATTATTATGCTCATTCAGAAATTTCTTTTATTCCAAAAAGATAATTTATATTCATAAATGGCTCAAAAGTAGAACTAATTTGAAAACATTATATTAATAAAATTGGTTTGAATTATATTCATTTTGTAAACCTCTAATTAACCTACCTATACTGAAAAAACAATTTGCTGCAGCAGTTATATTTTTTATAACTCATATCGGCATTAAATACTAGTTTTTGCCATTATTTATAATTGTGTGATATTAGTCGTGTTTTTAGATTTTAAAAGAGCTTTCGAGATAGTTGATCGAAAAATATTACTGGACAAATTTCAAAAATATGGTATAGTTGGCAATGGGTCGAAATGGTTTGAAAGTTTCTTGAACTGTAGAAAGCAAAAGACATGTGTAGGTAAAGAATTGTCAGAGTCAAATTTTATTAATAATGGAGTCCCTCAAGGTACAATACTAGTTGTTTTAAGTTTCCTTTTGCATATTAATGACATCAAATTAACGAACGACTTAGTTCGTTCCTGTAAAATAATTTTGTTTGCTGATGATGCTCTAATTTATATTGTTCAACGTGGTGTTGATGAATGTTGTGTTAAAATGAATGAAGACCTAAATCATTTGTTTTCATGGTTGTGTATGAACAAACTGAAGCTTAATCCCGATAAAACCAAATATATGGTAATCAATGATAGATCCAATAGTGCCATTAATGTGGAAATTGGAGGTACAAGCATAGAAAAAGTTGATTGTATGAAGTATTTGGGAGTACTGATAGATAAACATGCAGATGATATAAGCAATAAAATAGCTAAGAAAGTCGGATATTTGGGTCGAATAAGAAACCAAATCACATTAAAATGTGCAATTACCATTTATAACACCACAATACTACGACATTTAGATTATTGTTCATCCTTATTGTTTTTATGCAAAGAAGGTAAGAAAGATAAATTACAAGTGTTACAAAATAAGGCAATGGGTATTATATTAAAATGCAACCGAAGAAGTAATATTAGGTAATGGATGTCAGTGCGAGAGAGACTTAGCTTCAATGTTTTGGTATTCGTTTTTAAAATAAAATATAATTTGCTTTCAAAGCATCTCAAAAATATTACAAATTACGTTGCGGAAGTTACAAACTACAATTTGAGATCAACTAATTTGTTTAGGTTGCCGTTTTTCCGAAGGCAAAACACTCAAAATAATTTGTTCCACAGAGGACTAAGGATGTTTAATAATTTGCCTGCTGAAATAAAAAATGAAAGCCGTCTGAATCACTTTAAAAATGCAATAATTAGATATTTAGTTCATAATGAAATTTAATTTTTTAATTTATAATTTCGTCAATTTTTTTGTTATGTATTTTCTTGATATTATTTAAAATTTATTGTTGATTTTTTTAAGTATTCTTTTAACGTTTTCTTTTTTACTAATTTTTTTTTTTTAATTTTTTAAGTTTCTTTAATTTTATAGTTTTGAATTGAATTATTTAAAGTTCCTGAATGAAAATTTAAATTTTTATAAATCTATTTTGTTAGCAAGATATTTAATGAAATATGTAATAAATTGTACTGATAATTAATAGTATTTATACTAATAAATATAATAATAAAAAAATTATAACTTAAATATAACAGAATATTTATTTTCATAAATAAATTTATAAAAAACTTATAAAAGAAAAATTTATTTTTATAAATAAATTTAATATAACAGAAGAAAATCAGCTTTGATAAAGTGCGTATGAAAATATATTAGCGAAAATAAAAGTTTTTTATTCCAAATAAAAGGAAGTTTTCTTTTCACACCAATAATAAAAAATTATAACTTAAAATTATTGTAAAAATTCCAATGTGCTTAATTCTTTTATAATATAAGGAGTTTTGCAATATTTCTTTCAAATTCTGCAATATCTCATGTCAAACTCTACTATAAATTACATTAGAAATATTGACACATAAGATATAAAATTTTCTTAATTTCCAAAACAATATTTGCAAATTTTATATTAAATGATATCAAGAAAAGTTAAAAAAAACTTATAAGCAAAATATTGACTTTTCCAATTATTATTGTTAATTTGTGCTTTATAACATTACCAAATTTGCCAGGTGAAATTGCTGTTTTTGGAATGTCTCATGCTAAATTGTGCTATGTCACAATAGCATATTCATATTTTAAATGCGAAATTTCAATAGAAATTGAAATTGAAAGTAAAATTTCCAAACATGCTTTCAATAAATATATGATTGGGGCCATACTGAAAATTTCCCTGAAATTTGCAGTATATCCCAAGTAAGCTGAAAAAATAAATATTTTAAATTAAATTGAAAATTGTTAAATTCATTGAAGTATTTTATTTTACCTAATTAAATAAATATCTACATTATCTTATTTATGTATAAACCATTTTTGATTTAGTAAAGGCTCTCTATTCTCTTTGACTAAAAAACTAGTAGTGAAGCAGTTTTTTTAGATTTTAAAGTAACAAAATTTTACTATAAATTTAATATGTTTCATTAAGACTAAGATATTTAAAAAATTTATAAAATTTTAATCTAGTGCATTTAATATATGACAAAATTGCATCAAAATTAATGAATTGTTCTTTTTATATCATGTGGCGTTTGACTCTGGTACACGTCTCTTTGTATAAAGCAGCGTCATTTTGAACCCAACATCGACAGCTGATTCCAGGGCAGATATAAATGCAGTATAATGTAGTATGATATCTGAGAATGAAGTAATTATCAAAACAAAGTATTTTATTTGTTAGTATTTTACAAATAAAAAATTCTGAGTAAATGCTGTAAGTGTACTTAAGGCCTACCGAAGTATGGAGAAAATGTTGATTTTCTTTATTGTTTTTGGACTTAAAAATTAAAAAATTAAAAACGAAAATATGTTTCAAACTTAATGTATCTTACATTCTTTTATATCCTTCTGTTTTAGAATACGTAAGTTTTCAGTGATAGGAGCTCCTCTTGAAGATAAATTCTGTAAAGCAGAGGTTAATTACATTCGTTTTATAAAATACAGAACTTGAAATGAGTTACTGAAATACACACATACTTAATATTCAACTTTTCTTTCTGACTCTCTGTAGCCTCTGTAGCTCAGTTGGTAGAGCGTCCGCCTAGAAAACGGTAGGTCACTGGTTCGAGTCCAGTTCGAGGAGAAAAAAAATTTTTTAATTAATTTTTCTGCCTTTAACTCGTTCCTTTGATTACGTTATCCATCTGTTCTGCAGTTGCATGAAGAAATTTCCATTAAGTTTAACTTTTATTAAATTTAAAACATTTTAAAATTAACAATTATATTAATAATTAAATTTGACTCTTACTAAATACACAATTTCAAATTATAATTCACTACTCGATTTATGTTCTAAAACAACCCTGTTTTCGTAAGCTCTGAATTTTATATCAATACTTTTATATAAAAGGTCAAACTTTGCAAAAAGATTTGCCAGTTGACTTATTTTACATGGCAGAATGCGCCAATCAATATCATCAACAACGCCTGATATTTTACTATGGCAAAATTTTCTATGTTGCAAGGGACATTTTGCTACCCAAACTTATGAAAGTGCCATATGTGGCATTTCAGGCATAAATAACATAAGTTGCGAAATGAAATTGCTATTTTAGCTATAACGTTGCAGAGAAAATATTATGTTTAATTTCTGAAAGTTTTATTATTAATTTCAAATTTTCTTTTAGATAAAAACTTTTCGCGCGAATAATATGGCAATTTTAGTTTTAAAAACTATGAAAGAACACTATAAGCGCACTTGAATGTTTTATTGCAAATTCTGCAAATGATTTTTTTTCAGTATATAGAAAACTGCAAATTCGACTCTTAGCAGAATTTCGTTATGTGCCCTCCGAATTTCCTGAAAAGTTCCCTAGTTAGTTTTCCTCACAACCAGAACTCAAATATTAAATTTCAAGAAATTCAATTAATCCGTTTCGTAGATGTGGTAAAAAATGTAAAATTGCCCGCGGTTCGATTTTAGAGCCTTGATCTTTCCGAAAAATTTATAGATTCATTGTTCATTGAACACTTCGAATTTAAATACTAAACTTCAAGGAAATAGGTCGATAATTTCCCTTCATACACAAATGTAACGATACACGACTCAAAAATGTAAAATCGGCCCACAAAAAGGTTCAGTTCCTGAGGCCGGGCATTCCATCCCAAATGAATCTCAAAAAACCTGTTCGTAACGAAAATTATTATACACCTATAATTTGAATCTATCTTCCAGGATTCAAACAATTTTAAACGCTTTTCTAATAAATTATTTCACTTAGAATCCTTTGAAATGTATAGGTATGGCAATTATTTTGTATGCTGCAGTGCTGAACAGTAATTAACTCACATTTATTACAAGGGAAATTTGGTATCACAAAACATGCTTTATTGCATTGTATCAAAGATATTATAATTACTCATAAAATGAAATAAAATAATTTCTGTAAACATATATTTTGTGTTTAATAGTTTTTATTTTTCTAATTTATTCGAAAATACCTAATATAACGATATATGTATGTATTTCTTAACAAAAAGTATGATGATCAATTTTGAATGCACCGTATGTATTTATTAGTAAATTCTGTATTACGAAGTCTTGAGAATGAAGAAGCTTGTGGTATTACGAAGTCTTATATAAAAATGTCTATGGGTACGTATATATGTGTATCTTCTACATGTGCTAAATGTGTCATTATTTTAATGCATACAGGCATACCAAAATAAAACGCAAAAAGCCAAGCAAACAGCAGCAAAAAGAAAATTGTTAAAAAAATGGGAAAAAATTAAAAGAGAGGGTAAGAATAACTAAAATCCAAAAATCTGATGCGTTCAGCACATAACCGACCGCAATGTGCATTATCTAGTAAAGTGAAAATGTTACAGAATATTATAAAAATGCCTGTTAAATACTTCTTTCCAATTTTAAGGGCATTAGTAAGCTTATAGTTAACATACCTAGAAAAATGTAAATTTGGCTCTTAGTAGAATTTCGCTTCATGCTATCGCTGAAATGCTCGCCAGTTAGTTTCGGTAACAATCAGAACTCAAATATAAAATATGGTAAAAAATGTGAGATCAGTTTCCGAGTCTTTCCAAAAAATTTTTGTGTTCATTGTTTTGATACGAAGAATTTAAATATCAAATTTCAATTAAATCAGTTGATTATTTCTCTTCGTATACGCAAAAATTTATTTTTAGCCCGTAGTAAACATCTAGTTTCTGACGTCTGATTTCTTCCAAAAGTTAGGAGGTTTCGCTGTAAATCTGTTAAATTTTTTTCTTTATAATGATCAAGAATGTAAAACAGGCCTGCTAAAAAGTGCAGTTCCCGAGGCGTGATATGTCCCAAAAATTGATCAATCCGTGCCATAATCGAAATAAATTTATATATAAAATTTCATAAAAATCGGCTTAGCCGAACTTGGTATACATGCGTGCACACACAGACCAACAGACCGAAAGACCCCCCGGTTGCTAAACATAGTTTATTTACACTTCCCTATCATGGAGAAGAGCGTTCCCATCGAAAACTCGATATGCAAAATTTGATGCCATCACATCACCTACATATTATATAAGCAATGCGGCCGGTAAAAACTAAAAATGTACTTATGTATGTTCTGCCTATGATTGGTATCCCTGAAATGATTTTTTAAGCAGAAATTTATCTTGTTGGTACATCTTAGTATTTTTAAAGCCTTTGATTGTGTACAATGAGGTAGATTATGTGACGGCACCAAATTTTGCATGACGAATTTTCAATGGAAGTGTACTTCTCAATAGTAGGGAAGCGTAAAAAAACTATTTTTTAGAAGGGTGTCGGTCTGTTTGTGGACGCGTGTATCTCAAGTTCGACTAAACCGATTTTGAAGAAATTTCATACGTAAGTTCACTTTGGTTATGGAACTGATTCAAAAACTTTCGGAAAACACCAGACTTCGCGAAGTCTGTCTCTTTGCGGGCCAATTTTACATTTTTGCGTATATGTAGAATAATAAGCAAACACTTTCCTTGAAATTTAAAATTTAAATTCGGGGTCTTAAAACAATGAATTTATAAATTTTGGGAAAGATTAGGGCTCGGTAACCGATTGATGAAATTTCTTGAAATTTGATATTTGATTTCTGGTTGTTACCGAAACTAACTGTTCAGTTTTTCACCGATTCGAATTTACACTTTTCTAGGCAAGTTAGCTAAAAGGTAATTTCCTTAAAATTAAAAGGGAAAGTTCAAAATGCATTTTCATAATCTTATGTAACACATTCACTAAACTACATTGCGGTCGGTTACATGCTGAGCACATCAGATATTTTTTTGAGTTTTATTTCATAATAATCTTTATATGATTTGTGCTCTACAAACTCGGATATTTGAATGTATAAAAAATATATAAAATGTAATAAACAGATATATTAAACAACTGGTTACCCGCCTATAATTTCAAAAATGAGTGTTGTAATAAACTGTAATGGTTATTTACCTATATTAGAATTAATCTGTTGTATTTAAATTCATCTTATAGTCAGCTGATAAAACAAAAAAACCTTTATTTTCAAATATTACAGCGGAGCTCAAAATATTATTAATGGTGCACATCTAACGTAAGTTTTATATGCAGAATTTCGCAGTTCATTTTATCGTGAATAACTTTTCAAACTTCTATTTCGTTTCTTAACTTTCAAGCTATTTAACAACATTAAATAATACATAAATATGTATGTTGTATACATCATATACTACGTACATAATAATTTGTTTCTTTAACCCAAAATCATTGGATAAACCTTATAATTTATTTTATGATAGAAGGTGGGGGATTATTAAAGATTTCAATTGAAATATGGTGACAATTTATATGTCATAAATGTTAAAATATTGTTGAATATAAGTAGAACGTTTTATTAAAAACTAAAATGGTTTATAGTGTAGTAGTTATACTCGTAACAGTAATAAAAAATGAATTATTCAAATGTTTGTTTTAAGAAAAGTAAATAAATGATGTGAAATAAATTTTTAGGAACAATGAATATAAAATTTGTTTTGTTAACTTGATGTACCTGCAAAAGTTTTTATTAGGTTTCGTAAAGAAATTAAATGTTCACTTGATAGAGTGAAAGTGATATTATAGACTATAGAAGACCGAAATCATCAAATTATTTAAGATTTATGTAATGACTTATATATATGTATAAGACACATATTACACATAATTTAAAATAAGGAAATAATTTAAAACATTTTTGTAGCCTCGCAATTTTAGTAGAACCTTAAATTGTGTGGGTAGAAAATATTAAATATTAAGAAGATCTCCTCAGAATTATATTATGTAGATAATAAATTCAGAACAATTGTTACTATTGAAATACTTCTTTATATTATTTATGAATTTTTATCATAAGATTTTTTAGATTATTAAATCAAAATCAGTGGACATGTACCAACGTGCGTACGTTCAGATTTTGTAAAACTATGGCATTTCCTATATTATGCATTAAGTATAACTAATTTGGGAAGCAATTACCTTTTGCTTAATGAAAACAAAATTGTGTTAATTATTGGCGTATATTAATAATGTACAGTACAAAGAAATTCCACCATTACAAAATTTCACGCTCAGATCTAAAGGAATAATCAATCTTAAAACTAAAAATTCCAAATACAAAGAATAATAAACTTATACCTATAGTTCTGAAACAATTAAATTTACAAATAAAAGTACGTTTTAGACTCAGAGTTTTTTTACAGTGTTCCTACACTATATCGGTAACATCGTAGAAAGAATATTTTGACTAAAATGGACAAAAAACAAGTAAAAACGTTTTAGTCGGCATAAACCGATTGAATTATATCCTGCACTTTTCGTTGTTTTATAGAAATTACTCAAACCTGTGAAACCATTCTATAGAAATTTCACGGATATGTCTGACCTATAATTGGACATCCGACTGCCAAGTTTCATGAATCTGACTTTATTATTTTTCCAAATATTTTAAATTAGCTTTTAGA